TTATAATAAAACAAATGGGGAAAAACACAGCAAAATTAATAAAACATTAAGTAAAATTGAAATGAAAACAGGAAATATAAAAACTATTTCCAAATATTGATTACAGACTATAATAGTATATCAATTACATACTAAAATAACTCCTAAAATAGTCTCAGATCAGGGTTATTATAGTTAATAAAACTACATAAAACATTTTCATTACTTAAAGTAAAATAAAACATTTAAAAATGCTTATTTTATTTTAATTATCTGTCAATTATAAAACATATATGTAATAATGGGTTACACTTTATTTTAAGGTTACAGTGTAATTCTACATTTATTATATTACAGTGTAATTCTACATTTAAGGACTGAGTAATATTAATGAACTACGTGTACTTACTATATGATTAGGATTAGGGTTTGGTTTAGGGTGACTTTAATTATGTAATTACGCATAAATTATTGATATTATAATAGTAAGAACATGTAACGTGTAACAAGGACACCTTAAAATAAAGTGTTACCTAATAATATATCTGATAGTAAAATAACAAAAAAAATTTTTTTGAAGGAAAAAAAAATATTTCAGCTTATTTTATTTCATTTCAAATGATCATTTGATTTTAGTTGATGTACTAAAATAACTAAAACTAAAATAACAATTAATATCGGACAAAATTACAAACTAATAGAAATGACAAAAACACACAAAAAATGACCAAAACCTTAAACTGAACTTAAAATGAAAACAACATATTAATTATTCTGTAATAATATTAATAAAAACTATAATAGTGTATCAATAATAATAATAAAATAACACTCTCTGATGATAATAACCGTCGTGATGTTTTCTCAGGGATGGATCTGAGCAGTCAGATTCGCGGCTGTCTGGTCACGTCTTCAGCAGACAAACACGTGAAGATCTGGGACATCATGGGAGACAAACCCACCCTGATCCACTCCAGAGACATGAAGATGGTGCGTATCTGACACACGAGCGTCTGACCAGTGAACGCGGCTTTATAACGCACCTCTATTTCTATTTCTCTGTCAGGGCGTTGTGTTCTGCGGATCCTGTTGTCCAGATCTGCCGTTCGTCTGTGCGTTTGGAGGACAGAGGGATGGGCTGCGCGTCTGGGACATCAGCGACGTCGCTGCAGGTGTGAATCTCAATAAGAACATGAGGATCTGTGTGTGTGTGTGTGTGTGTGTGTGTGTGTTGTTAACTGTAATCTGTCGTATCTCCAGTCGCGGAGGCTTTCAGCAGCCGGGAACGTTTGGTGGCGAATACAGTATCCGGAGTGTCCGGCGGTGTCATGGACGTCTCATAACCACCTGCATAATCTGAGGCTGAATCATCGACTCACAGAAGACTGAGAAACATGGATCAGTGCTTCATAATGAATAATATGAACAGCATCTCTCAATATACAGAACAGACTTATCTTCTGAAATTATATCTTCTGATGTATATGTGCTGATATCAGAACTTTGCTGTCTTTGACAAATGTTTGAAGCCACTTTCCTTTGAGGGAATCTCAATGATGATTGAAATTTCTCTGCATACTTATTTTTTTTAGGAAGTGTATAAATAATTATGATGAATAATTTCCGATATAAAACTATGGAATCCAAGGCATTTGTCTTACTCTGTATTTCAAAATTATTTCTTGTCACCATTTAACGATTCCGAACTGATCAGTTCTGAAAAAACAAACGCTTTAATGTTTTCATAAATGATTGTTGAATAAAACGATCTCTACGGCGGTGTTTCGCTGCCCTCCAGTGGCGCATTGCAGTACTGCTGGTGTTGATACGTTTATTTTTTGCGACTTTAAATATTATCTTTCATAAATGTTAGAGAAAAATAATTGGCTACATGATTTTATTTTATCCTAATGAATACATCTTATTTTATCCATGATTTTATTTTATCTTTTTGAATAAAACGATCTCTATGTTGGGGTTTCGGTGCCCTCCAGTGGTATAAATGTTAGAGAAAAATAATTGGCTACATGATTTTATTTTATCCTAATGAATACATCTTATTTTATCCATGATTTTATTTTATCTTTGAATAAAACGATCTCTATGTTGGGGTTTCGGTGCCCTCCAGTGGCGTACTGCGGTACTGCTGGTGATAATTTTTTTTGTTTGTTTTTTTTCCTTTTAAAATATGATCTATCTTAAATGTTTGTGAAAACGAATTGGCTTCATGATTTTGTTTTATCCTAATGATTCAATTTTATTTTATCCATGATTTTATTTGATCCTTTTGATGTAAAACGATCTCTATATGCGGTTTCGCTGCCCTCCAGTGGCGTATGGCGGTACTGCTGGTGGTGATAAGTTTATTTTTTTCCCCCTTTAAAATATTATCTTTCATAGATGTTAGTAAAAACTAATTGGCTTCATGATTTTATTTTATCCTAATGATTCAATTTTATTTGATCCATGATTTTATTTTATCCTTTTGAATAAAGCGATCCCTATGGCGGTGTTTCACTGCCCTCCAGTGGCATATGGCGGTACTGCTGGTGTTGATACGGTTGTTTGTGAAAACGAATTGGCTTCATGATTTTGTTTTATCCTAATGATTCAATTTTATTTGATCCATGATTTTATTTGATCCTTTTGATGTAAAACGATCTCTATGTGCGGTTTCGCTGCCCTCCAGTGGCGTATGGCGGTACTGCTGGTGGTGATACGGTTATTTTTTTTGCTCCTTTAAAATACTATCTTTCGTAAATGTTAGTGAAAACGAATTGGCTTTGTGATTTATTTTATCTTAATGCTCTGTGATAATCCATGTAATATAGTAATGTTGGGAAATTGGAACCGCAACTGGATATTTATGCCGCCAGAGGGCGCTCCATGCATTGCAAAGTTAATACATTATAATAAATAGATTAATAATAACAATGAATACCACATATCTTAAAGAAAGAAAAATATCTAAATTTCATTAAAGTCATAGTGGAGTTTAATTTTATTAAAATTATATATTTTATTTTTCTAAAGGTGGTTTGTATCATGTGTTACGCTTCCTCCTAGTGGGGCTGCGAGGTACTGCAAGACACCAATTTATTTTATCTGTAAATAATTGTTAATATTATTTATTGATTGATTGATTTTATTAGTTTATTTATTTTGCCGGTGTTTACTATGACTATGTTTTTTATCGATTAAATAAAGCAATGGGACCTGAACGGCCAACGGCGCGGATTGTTTCCTACCCGGAGGAATATTTATGTAGCGCACTGTTTGTAATAGTTCCGCTAGAGGGCGCTCTAAAGTTCAAAAACCAAATTCCTCGTTGAACTTCATTAAAAAAATCAGGGCATATTTTGAGTCGAATTTCAAGACAGTTCGGATTATAACAACAGAACTAAACAAAACACACAATAAAGATTAAAAACTATGGATTGATTTAATAATATAGTCCGAAAACGTTGCAAAACGTGTCATTGTTGAGCCGCGGTGTTCGTAACTTCCGTTTCCCTTCCACTGGTTTAGTTCTATTAGCGGAAAGCATGGCGTCGGGTCACATCAGCAGTCTGGTTCACCTGTTTAATCGCGTTAACACCAGCAGAAACATTAGACCATTCAGAGGTGAGATCTCATAATGAAAAACAAGTGGCGCATTGCAGTACTGCTGGTGTTGATACGTTTATTTTTTGCGACTTTAAATATTATCTTTCATAAATGTTAGAGAAAAATAATTGGCTACATGATTTTATTTTATCCTAATGAATACATCTTATTTTATCCATGATTTTATTTTATCTTTTTGAATAAAACGATCTCTATGTTGGGGTTTCGGTGCCCTCCAGTGGCGTACTGCGGTACTGCTGGTGATAATTTTTTTTGTTTGTTTTTTTTCCTTTTAAAATATGATCTATCTTAAATGTTTGTGAAAACGAATTGGCTTCATGATTTTGTTTTATCCTAATGATTCAATTTTATTTTATCCATGATTTTATTTGATCCTTTTGATGTAAAACGATCTCTATATGCGGTTTCGCTGCCCTCCAGTGGCGTATGGCGGTACTGCTGGTGGTGATAAGTTTATTTTTTTCCCCCTTTAAAATATTATCTTTCATAGATGTTAGTAAAAACTAATTGGCTTCATGATTTTATTTTATCCTAATGATTCAATTTTATTTGATCCATGATTTTATTTGATCCTTTTGATGTAAAACGATCTCTATGTGCGGTTTCGCTGCCCTCCAGTGGCGTATGGCGGTACTGCTGGTGGTGATACGGTTATTTTTTTTGCTCCTTTAAAATACTATCTTTCGTAAATGTTAGTGAAAACGAATTGGCTTTGTGATTTATTTTATCCTAATGCTCTGTGATAATCCATGTAATATAGTAATGTTGGGATATTGGAACCGCAACTGGATATTTATGCCGCCAGAGGGCGCTCCATGCATTGCAAAGTTAATACATTATAATAAATAGATTAATAATAACAATGAATACCACATATCTTAAAGAAAGAAAAATATCTAAATTTCATTAAAGTCATAGTGGAGTTTAATTTTATTAAAATTATATATTTTATTTTTCTAAAGGTGGTTTGTATCATGTGTTACGCTTCCTCCTAGTGGGGCTGCGAGGTACTGCAAGACACCAATTTATTTTATCTGTAAATAATTGTTAATATTATTTATTGATTGATTGATTTTATTAGTTTATTTATTTTGCCGGTGTTTACTATGACTATGTTTTTTATCGATTAAATAAAGCAATGGGACCTGAACGGCCAACGGCGCGGATTGTTTCCTACCCGGAGGAATATTTATGTAGCGCACTGTTTGTAATAGTTCCGCTAGAGGGCGCTCTAAAGTTCAAAAACCAAATTCCTCGTTGAACTTCATTAAAAAATCAGGGCATATTTTGAGTCGAATTTCAAGACAGTTCGGATTATAACAACAGAACTAAACAAAACACACAATAAAGATTAAAAACTATGGGCCACGTGAATAATATAGTCCGAAAACGTTGCAAAACGTGTCTTTGTTGAGCCGCGGTGTTCCTAACTTCCGTTTCCCTTCCACTGGTTCAGTTCTATTAGCGGAAAGCATGGCGTCGGGTCACATCAGCAGACTGGCTCACCTGTTTAATCGCGTTAACACCAGCAGAAATATTAGACCATTCAGAGGTGAGATCTCATAATGAAAAACAGTCACATTTTGGTTATAAATAAGATGAATTTGTATGCGTAACTAGTGTAAATGTGTTGCAAACACAGCCAGAGTGTAGGACTGTGCTGTACTGTATAACCTACAACATTTCTGACCTTATGAATGAGTGATTTTGTGCTGGTTTGGCTTGTATGTGTTCACTTTCAACTCCGAGATTATAAGAAAACGACAAAAAAAAAAAAAAGTGCTGTTTTTCGATTTCAGTTGGAACTTTTCTGTCATCTCACAACAAATCTACTGTCAGAGGTTCGTCCATTAACGACAACAGGTCAGTGTTTCCAATGCGTACATAATGTGTTCATAAATGCACACTTAATTGTTCAGTTACTATGATGCATCTGCAGTTATTGCATGTCAGACTTCACCCATATCAGATAAAGTGTCATTGTGTTGCTTGTTTCTCTAAAATGCATCTCTTCTGTTTCAGTGATGTGGAAATCGCAGTGACAGCTGATGGAAACACAATAGTGTGTTATCATCCGGCAGAAGACGTACCCTATGAGTTCACACAGGTGCGTATGATGGTTTGTGAAAGTGCAAAACAGACCGATTTGTGGAGATGTTGTGCATAAGTGTGTGTGTTTTGTTTGTTTGCTGTAGCCGATCGTCAGGCCGGATGTCGTCAGTGATCATGCAGAGACGCACGAGCAGGTGCTCAAAGCCAGACTCGGTAAAGAGGTTTTAAATAACAAACAGGCCCCGACCATAGAGGAGCTCAGTAAGATGTTTTACACCACCAAACACCGCTGGTACCCCGTCGGACAGTGAGTTTGCATTCTCTACTGGACAAAAACAACATATTCTGCCTCGGTTCAGTTGAATGAACTGGTTTGTGTTTCTGTTTTCACTACAGGTATCACTCCAGACGCAGAAAGCCAAATCCACCCAAAGACCGATAGTCCTGGTCTTCTCTAATGTTCTTTGTACATGTACTTCTGCACATTAAATAAACCCTTCCTTCAGCTATTGGTTTAATGTATTGTGTATTATAATTTATTTGTTATCAATCATATTATAATTAACTTAAACCTTGAAAAAATCTATATTTGAAATAAAATTTGAACATTAATTGAAATAAAATATAAAAAGTTTTTAAAAAGTTGCCAAAGCAACGTTTATCATTTTTATTTAGTTTAACTTGAAGCTCTAAATTAACGAAAACTAAAACTGAGAAAAAAAATGTTAAAACTATAGATATTTAAAAAACAAAACGAATAATGTATGACGAAACACGACAAAAATCTAATAAAAAATTATATATATAAATGAAAACTAATTCAAAATAATTAATGTTAATGTTAACCATATCAATTGACATGAATGATATCTTTTTATTTTCTCAGCGTAGTATAACACATTCTAAATTTTTGGTGAAGTCATTCATTTGGTTAAAACTTGTATTTAATAGATCATTTACTTGGGTAAAGCAAGTTTATATAGCACATTTCATACACAATTAAAAGTGCTATACATAAAGAGGGGTTTAAAATAATCAACAGATGCATAACTAAAATGAACAATACAAAAGTAAAAAAAAAAAAGTAATTAATTTTAAATGTATAAACAAGAAGGAAAAGGATGTAAAAATAATCATAACATATCATGAACAATAAAGAAAAAAGATTAATAATTGATGCAAAATATATTAAAACAAATAATAAAGGAATAGAAGAATACATGTATAAGATTATACAGTGTTTTAAGAGGTGGGGGGGAACATTTAAACAATTAGAAATGCACACACAAAAAAGTAGGCACTCAGTAGAAAAACTACATTTCCCAGAAAAACTATTCGGAACAGACGATGATGTTTTTTACCGGAAGACTTGCGCGCATGCGCTGTCAACCTCAACGCGAGCTGCAGGGACCGGGCCACGGCGCAAACCGCATTAATAAAACAAGATGGCTGGATTGCCCCGCAGGATTATTAAGGTATAATTCCCATAATGTTTGTCTTGTGCGTTCCGTTGCGGTATTTGTGCGCGTTGCGAAAGCAATTCGTTAAAAATGAAAGAAAACGGCACGTGCTGCTGCTGGCCCGAGCTCGCGCTGCAGCAGGGAGGCTCCCGCGCGCTCACTGTTTCAAACACATAAAATATATGGGAATAGTCTTCATAGAAAGAGCGACATAGAGCAGTGGCATCAGAGCTTTCTGGATTGTAAGCGAGCAGCGATGCGCGTCTGTCAGCTGAGAGACTCCGGGTGTTTACAGATGCGGATCTCACGCGCCGCGCTGGGAAATACTGGAAATGTGTTCATGTGTTAGCAGAATATTCCGTTCAATGAGAGTTTGCATGCAAACAGGAAATGAATTGAGCTGTTTAGAAAGAGTGTGTGTCGTAAATATGTGGTTAGTGAATTTTAAGTACACAGAGATTCACCACTTGTTTGCGTTTTGTCTACACGATTCTAATCTTGCATTGCAGAATTTTAATTGTCAGCAAGTCTGATCCACACTGCAGCTTATTCTGGCCCAGAACCGCCCACTTAGACAGGAGGAGACCGTCGTCTGATTGACTGTTAAACAGACCAATCACAGTTCACCTACACAGTCACGTGCCATTTTGGCGTTGGTTTATCTTTAATGGATTATAACACTAATTATTTGATTTACACCAGTCTATTATTGTCAATAGTAGACTGGTGTAAATCAAATAATTGGTGTCACATAAAATGACAGGAATCTCCATTAATTGTATGTTTACAAAAAGTACTGATAATTTCTTAGACATCGTTCTGCTTGTGGATATTTAGTTTGCTTGCTACTAAGTGCCTCTCTACATTTTTTAAAGCATTTTATGGACAAACTTTATCAAAAGTATTCAATGCAGCTGCGGGTACTTTCTAAATGGATTTTGCTTTCATGCAACTGAAACCAAATAAAGTTCATCAGTATCATTACATTTATATTCATGCATTTGGCAGATGTTTTTTATCTGAAGCGACTTGCATTGCATTCAGGGTTTACATGTGATCAGTTCATGCATTCGAACCTATGACTTTGGCATTGCGTTTCACACGTGTGTGTTTCGCCAGGAGACGCAGCGCTTGTTGGCCGAGCCTGTGCCTGGAATCAGAGCGGAGCCTGATGAGGGAAACGCTCGGTATTTCCATGTGGTGATCTCTGGGCCGCAGGATTCGCCCTTTGAGGGCGGGACGTTCAAACTGGAGCTGTTCCTCCCAGAGGAGTATCCCATGGCTGCTCCCAAGGTCCGATTCATGACCAAAATCTACCATCCTAATGTGGACAAACTGGGCAGGATCTGTCTGGACATCCTGAAAGGTTATTATAGTGTTTGTAAAGCCTGACATATGAAATAATAGTCTGATTTTTTTTTTAATAGAGGAGTTTATTTAAATTTGCATATGTGTTTCATGTTTTGTATTATATTTGATATATAAGGATTTTATGGTGCATATAATATGATACAGTGAGAATATGAAGGGAAAACAGCTCAATTTTATTCAGTGACTCAAACTGAGCAAAAAAAAATTCAGTCTGGTGCAGATGCTGATATTTATATGGACAAAAAGTATACAATTCTAATGTTTGTAATGTAAATAACCGAGATCTACAGTACAGCTGATACTTGCGTAAAATGATCAGTCAGCACTCTGTATCTCCAATAATATGTCTTAAGATGATATTTACATGATCAAAACATATAATGCAATGCAATCCAGTGCTGATTGAGAGATGAAGAAATAAACGCTCCTCAGAAGATGTGAGATGTTCTGGAGGCTTGTGAAGATCATTCCTGCGCTGAGGAACAGTGAAAGTAAAGCTTCTGGAAACAAACGTTCCTCAAAAGATCCTGATGATCAGATTTGAGACGCACTGATTTTTCTAAAAAATAAATGATGGAGAATCAAGTAAAGCTGAGCTGCTTCAGTCCAGTAAGTGTTCATCTGGAAATATTACTATAGTTATTCTGACGTTTGCTTGATAAAAATCAGTCAAGATTTGTCAGCCAAAAGACACGTGAAGCTGAAGGTGGGCGTTTGTACAGTTATATTAAAAGAGCTTTTACTTGCTAAAAAACTACCAATCAGACGACAGAAGGCATGTAGTATATTGTGTGCAAGAGGTTTAACAGCAAAGTTTTGATCATTTAGAGACCTTCATGTATCAAATACAATGCTGTAGGCTTTATAGTGCTCATGGTCACATGTCTGTCTCTTCTCTCTTGTAGATAAATGGTCTCCGGCTCTTCAGATCCGTACAGTGCTGCTCTCTATCCAGGCTCTGCTAAGCGCTCCAAACCCTGATGACCCGCTGGCTAATGATGTCGCTGAACAGTGGAAGAGCAACGAGGCTCAAGCCATTGAAACAGGTGAGACCTTCTCATCAGCACTAGCTAGACGTTTATGTTGTTGTCTTATTACTTGTACTTGTTTGGAAGAAATTATTATTTATTGTTATTACCCATGTAATAAATATTTAACTGAGACGTTTCACCACTGTGCTCCTTTTGCCAAGACGAGGAAGAATATCTCTCACTTATTTCATTTCTGTTCCTATTCCAAACCAGGGTGGCCGCGGGTCCTTAAAAAGTCTTAAAATGTCTTAAATAAAGTTTTCCTAAAATAAGGCCTTAAAAAGTCTTAAAATGTCTTAAATTCAGATTCAGTAGGTCTTAAATATTTTTGGTCACATTACCACAAAAATTTCTCTAGTCTTAACGGACCCAGTGAGTGTCCATCAAGAGTACTTTTCCCACCCCGGTGTAGTTACCGCGTCATCAGAGAGAATTGCGGTTACAGAATACAGTCGAACACCAGCTCGCTGTCCAGCCTCCGAACTACTTTAAATGGATGTTTTGTCTGCTGATATGAAAAACTCACTGTATATCGTAATAACACATAGAATTTTTGACAGCGATGATATTTTGTTTTCTTTTTACATTTAAACGCGTTAAATATTACATATACATATGTAATATAATGTGTATTTCCATCACAGGCTTGGTCTTAAATTTCACATAAGGTGGTATTAAAAAGGTCTTAAAAAGTCTTAAATTTAACTTGTTCATATCTGTAGACACCCTGCAAACATTTCTAGCTTCAGATTTCAGCATCCTTATGTGTTTTTAGTAGTGCTGGGTAATGATTAATCGCATCCAAAATAAACGTTTTTGTGTACATAATATATGTGTGTGTACTGTGTATATTTGTTATGTATTTATAAAGACACATACAGCATATATGTAGAAAATAGTTATATATTTATATTCATAATTTATATATAAATATATTTAATATATAAACATAACAGTTTTCTTAAATATATACATTCATTTGTGTTTATTTATATATACATAATAAATATACACAGAAACAAACTTTTATTTTATATGCGATTAATCGTTGCCCAGCACTAATTTTTAGTTAGTAAAAGATTCTTTAAAAGATTATTTTTCATTGTGATGTCTTAAACTTCATTTATATGACGGGTAAATACCATAGTCAAAAAGCAAGATACATTACATTTAAACCAACTGTAATGTATTTGCTTCGGATTTACATTCACATTTATCATCACTTAAAATCTCCAATAAAAAATCTTTAAGAACATTCCACCTTACAATAGATTTTTTTTTGTTGTTGTACTTATTTTATTTATTTATTTTTAAACTTGCATTTCTGACTTTTATTTCCACCATATTATATTTAGTTATAAAAAAAAATAAAGGTAATTGCAACATTTTCTGACAATTCAGTTTTTTTTTTTCTTCCAGTTTATATCTCTCAAAATTGTAAAAACAAAGCCAGAATTGCAAGAGAAAAAGTTGCAATTACTTTATTTTAATTTTTTGTGGAAATTGGCTTCTAAAAAAACAACAAAAAAAACAGGTTCAGCTCAGTTCACTCAGTAATCAAAAGGAAAAAAAGAATGAAACCCATTTTTAAGACCATTAAGTTTTTTTTACTTTCAATGTTTTTTTGTTTGTTTGTTTGTTTTTTGTTGTTGTAATTTTTGCAATTCCAGTTGTTCTGATTCTCATTACTGTATTATGACTGTTTTTTTGAGATTCACCCAAATTAAATCGATATGATCTTAATTAATGTCCTGGAGGGTGTTTTTCTCTCTCTCACAGCCCGAACATGGACCAGGCTTTATGCCGGCAACAACATTGAAGTTTAGAAGAAGGAAACGGTGGCATCTGTAGAAAATAGTTATATATTTATATTCATAATTTATATATAAATATATTTAATATATAAACATAACAGTTTTCTTAAATATATACATTCATTTGTGTTTATTTATATATACATAATAAATATACACAGAAACAAACTTTTATTTTATATGCGATTAATCGTTGCCCAGCACTAATTTTTAGTTAGTAAAAGATTCTTTAAAAGATTATTTTTCATTGTGATGTCTTAAACTTCATTTATATGACGGGTAAATACCATAGTCAAAAAGCAAGATACATTACATTTAAACCAACTGTAATGTATTTGCTTCGGATTTACATTCACATTTATCATCACTTAAAATCTCCAATAAAAAATCTTTAAGAACATTCCACCTTACAATAGATTTTTTTTTGTTGTTGTACTTATTTTATTTATTTATTTTTAAACTTGCATTTCTGACTTTTATTTCCACCATATTATATTTAGTTATAAAAAAAAATAAAGGTAATTGCAACATTTTCTGACAATTCAGTTTTTTTTTTTCTTCCAGTTTATATCTCTCAAAATTGTAAAAACAAAGCCAGAATTGCAAGAGAAAAAGTTGCAATTACTTTATTTTAATTTTTTGTGGAAATTGGCTTCTAAAAAAACAACAAAAAAAACAGGTTCAGCTCAGTTCACTCAGTAATCAAAAGGAAAAAAAGAATGAAACCCATTTTAAGACCATTAAGTTTTTTTTACTTTCAATGTTTTTTTGTTTGTTTGTTTGTTTTTTGTTGTTGTCATTTTTGCATTTCCAGTTGTTCTGATTCTCATTATTGTATTATGACTGTTTTTTTGAGATTCACCCAAATTAAATCGATATGATCTTAATTAATGTCCTGGAGGGTGTTTTTCTCTCTCTCACAGCCCGAACATGGACCAGGCTTTATGCCGGCAACAACATTGAAGTTTAGAAGAAGGAAACGGTGGCATCACATGAGAGAAGTGGAACAGTCTCCTCCGGTCTTCTTTTGCATTTAAAGGACACTTTCTCAGACAAATTAAAACAGCAAGCGGAAAAAAAAAAATACGATTCAAAAGCAACTACTGCAGCCCTTTGGGTGAGTGTCGGTGTGTTCCTGGTCAGAGCTAATGTTCGCTCCACTATATGATCTCTCTGCTTCTGGGTTCGGCCAGGAAATGGCCTGGGGTTTCCCAGCATCCCTTGCGTGGTCACTACACAGGACCCTGTCAGAATGTGTAGTACAGTCTCTATTACAGTCATTAGCGCAGTGGATTTCACTGCAAACTGATTGTAGGCTCCAGGTGGATGGTTCATTTTTGTTAGTTCATTTTTATGTTAGGGGGTGTAGAGGGAGGGCCCGTTAAACGTGGGATGCATATATGCTGCTTCTCGGTCAGGGACAAAATGATGTGAATTATTTTCCTTTTCCTTCCTGTGAAACTCTTCAGTTCATTAAATGCATGTGGTGAACCCGTCTATATCATTGCCTATCTGACAGAACCTGCTCTGACGTTGTTGTATTCCAAACGAAACTTGTGTGAGTGTGCGTGTAAAGGTTTGTGTTTCGGCTGGAGTGGAATCTGTATGACTTGTCTGGGAAAATTAAATCTGTAAATGTTCAGTTTTAGTAAAAATATTTTTTGTTATGTTATTTGGTTTGTTCTCTTTATTTCTGAGGGGTTTTTACAGGTTCGAATCTGATTGTTATGGTAGCTTGTGACTGCCATGGAATTAAAAAAAGGTAGCAGTGTATTTTATCTCACAATTTTGGCTTTTTTTTCTCGGAATTCTGAGTTTGCATCTTGCAATTTTGACACTTTTTTGGAATTCTGAGTTTATATCTTGCAGTAAAAAATACACCGCAGAGTAAAGAGGAAACCGACAATGTGCCAATAGATGAGACAAGAGCAGGTTACTTCTGGTATGAAACAAGGTCTCAGGACTCTCAGCTTTCAAAGTTTGTCATTTTTAAAGAAAATCAAACAATAAATACCATTTTGTGGCTCTGTAATGACAGATCACTGTATTGTCTCAGTTAAAGCTCCACGTGAACTAATCGTCTTTCATATATACTTAAAGCACGAAATGAACATGAATGAACTCTCTGCGAATGGTCAATTTTGGCTTTTTTGTGGAATTCTGAGCTTAAACCTTGGAATTTTGAAATTTTTCTTGGAATTCTGAGTTTATATTTCAGTTTTAGTTTTTTTTCATGGAATTCTAAGTTTACATCTACCAATTTTGACACTTTTCTTGGAATTCAGAGTTTACATCTTGCGATTTTAACATTTTCTAAATTCTGCTTTTACATCTTGCAATTTTTACACTTTTCTTGGAATTCTGAGTTTATATCTCACTGTTTTAGCTCTTTTTTTCATGGAATTCTGAGTTTACATCTTGCAGTTTTGTACCGATTGTAGCTTAAAACCTCTCAGCAGATAAAAAATACAGTTTGTCAAATAATTTCACAGTATGAATGGCATGAAAACAAACACTGCAGTTGTTTAATCTCAACGACTATGAATTATGCTTAAACATGGCTGTACTGCCTTGCTAGTTTGTTAATGTGAAAGTTTGCTTCTTCAAATAAAATAGAAAATTGATCTGGTTTTGAGAGAAGTCCCTTTAAACCATATTTCCGATTAAAATGTTTCTGTACAAAAGATAATTTGTTTATTAAATTACAGCTGTTACAGTATTACTTTGTCAAAGATGAGGTGGCAGAAGCATCTGAAAAATAATTACAGTATATTTAGATGGTCTAACACATGGACAATTGCAGTTTTTTTTTTTTTTTTTGACAATTTAGAGCAAAATTGGTATGTAATTAAAAATGAACATAAGGTGCATCCACTCAGCTGCTCAAGTTTATAAAAACAAAGGCTTCATATATTTTGTTTAATACAAATAACATTCCTTAATTTGAAATTAATAATTTTAGCCTTTAAATTAAAAGTCAGTTCTCCAGTACAGTATATAAAAGGAGTTCTGTCTCTCTTAAATGGGACTTTTAATTCCAGATTTCCAGTGTTGACTCAGACTTTCACTGTATTTGAGCCGCAGTGACCTCTGACAGAGCTTCATTGCTGGATTTATGAATCGAGCTGTCTGAGAACCGCAGGACGGTGGCTCTTATCTCTCTTCTGTTCCACATGACTCAGTTCTTCTACCAAACACACATTATATAACTGTCTGAGTAGCAGTGCTGCAGAGCTGCAAGTTATTTCTGACTTCCACATTTCTCCGTCCTGTATGTTTGTTTGTGTGTGTGTGCAGGCCGTTTATAGGATTAAGACATCGAGAGCAATCAAAACAGTCTCTTGTTTCTGTTTTCTCATTTCTAATGAGCCGTTTGTTATGTCTGCAGTGTCTGAATGGCTACCATTACGACATTTCTAAAGACCTTGGGAGCATAGCTTGTAATAATGTCAAGAGTGTTTGTATATGGTCACGAATAGAACTGACTACTGTTTACTATTTAGCACTAACAGATGAGTATTTCTGACCAGTAAACGTTCATATTCATTATGAAGTTTCGGATTCTACAAAAACAAGATGGTTACCCTCGTGCAGCTCAATAAATGTGAATTAAAAGTCACGTTCAGTAAGTGTGTGGCAGCTGTTGCTCTGATCAGATCCATGTAATCTCATTAAGGCCGTGAACAGATTCACACTTCTCTGTTCTGTCTCAAAATCTGTTGAGCCCATGGCAAACAATTATTTACATTGTACTGATTAATGTGCTTAATGAGTTTGGCCCATGTTGAGTTGAGGTGGTATTCTATGTCAGCATGACACATGTTAAGTTAATGCAACAGATTTTAGAGCATTCCTCACTAACCAGATGTCTGTAATTCACTCATTAAAGACATGACGACTGCAGGCATGTGCAGTGATCCCTGTCTTAGGTAACTAAATCCACCCAAGAAAAATTATTCTCTATAATAATATTATATATAATAATATTATAGGGCAAGTTGTCACAGGTCTATATCCCAGTAACTATTTGGTTTTGAGTCAAACGCCCAATTACACGAATGATTTTACCAGTAAACCTACCTTGAAAATAGTCTTTGAGCGTTTATCATTAAAAGTGCCTCTAGTTTCACTCAAATCTGCTAATGACAAGTCTCTCCCAAACTGTTTCTTCATCATGTTTGCACAGTGATAACAGAAAAAATGTTGTCAGATTCTTTTGTTGTCAAAGTTAAACAATGTCATCATCGTAATTCAATCAGATCAGTATCTATGCCAAAGTCCAGCATTCCAGGTTGTCATTAACAGCACTACATTAATGAAAAATTTACAAATGGTATTCATTTTATTTAATTTACATTATTTAATTTACATTAAATGCATTAATGCACTGCTGTATATGCAACTGGATGGGAACGGTGTACAGTATTTATTTAGTATTCATTATTTTCTGCATTCATGTAGTTTTCATTCATATCTACATATTTTGTCGGAACACACGTAAATAATCAGCTAACTAAAATATGTTCTAAGAATGGTTTGTTAACGTTCCCCGTTTTTATTTTTACGTTGTTTAAACATTTTTTTCTAGGTTATGCAAATGTTAGAGAAAACCTTAAAGAAACGTTCCATTTTTTTCATTATGCAAACATTTCAGGAACGTTACTTTTGAACTTTCTCAGTGTCTATGGATAATGTCTACCGTGAATTATCTGATGCTCAAAGTACGTGTCTTGGCTAAAAAACTAATTTATATAGGTCTATTAACATTAATGTTAATATATAAATAGTTGTGAATAGTAAAAGATAAAACAAATTATGTCATAACTACCTGCAGTATATGTGGCAGGAGGCCACGCAGTAATGCGGTAACGGATGAGTGTGAGCGCAGTTCACGGATCCGCCTGACGGAGGTCTCGAGCGCTGCGGCCGGTAATTACAAATCCTACTACGGCCAAGGTGTCGCTTATGCATATTAATTAATGTGTGATGACGTCGAGGAGTTGCCTTCCAATGGTGAACGCTGTTGATTAATATATGCTGACGTTGCCTGGTAACCTTCCAATGCTGACGGTTTATCTCATGAATATTAAGTACCAAGCCGTCAACATACTAGCGTTAGTAATTTCGCACCCGGCCCACCACACACGTATATATATACCGGGGGAAACGAGATATTTTGACCTGGGAATGGACAGCGGAATGCAGAGTTGTCGTTAGAGAATCGAATTTGCTGGACTAAACGCGGAGGAATGATTTAAATTGGATTTAAAACCAACGCAAACCCGTAGGCTCGGTCCAGCCCAGTATTGGTCTGCTTCTCGCCGTCGGTGGTGACTCACGGAGCTCGGGCCGTTCACGGAGCATTGCTGACCGGTCGGATAAATCTACGGAAGGACCGACAGGACTTCAGCATGAAGTTCAAACCGAACCAGACGCGGACGTACGACCGGGAAGGATTCAAGCGGCGGGCGGCGTGTCTGTGCTTCAAGAACGAACGGGAGGATGAGGTACGGAGATATTAACCTCGTTATCTAAACCAGACATGATGCTCGGATGATAAATCGGTGTATCAACACGCACTGACACTTTCACCTGTGGCCCAGCCAGAATATATGTGAGCATACAGATATTTGTTGAGTAAATATGTATATATTGCATATATAAGAGCTATCAATCAGGTGCTAGTATGCTGTCATGTAATGTCATCTAGTACATCAGTGCTGTGTTTCATCATGGATGGATACGTAGATGCATAGATTGATGATATGAATTTGAAATTTGCAGTGCATCAGCATACAATACATACACAAAACAAATAATGCACTATACAGACACACCAGACAATGTATTGTTTACATCTGTAGTGCTGGAAAAAAATCTGAGATCAGTTTATCATTGTTAAGTGTTCTTAGAAAGTGAGGTTTTTGCAGCATGCACTGCTCAGATCACTGCACAGTGTAATCTAGAGCACATCTGTTCATTTAATTCTCATCCAGGGCTGTAATCTCTGTCACACAACCCTGCGCTGGCCAAAATCCCATTGATCCTCATTAGTCAAGTAAACCTGTTTCTACTGCATAATAACCCATTAGAAAACTCTATCTATCTATCTATCTTGTCATTGCACACATGTTCGTCTCCTGTCACCCATCATGACTTAAAGGCACTTTAGACTGTCGGTCACTGGGCCTCCATAGTACAGTTATGCAATAAAAGCACGTCAGACTGCAGTTCTCTGAAACTCCCTCTGTTTATGCATGTACAGTATACAGCTGCACCAGGTTCATCCACCTCTGACAATGGACTGTCATGAAAAGACATAAGATTGAATGGCATATAACACCCAGTGACACCTTTTGAAAAATCACATTAAAAAAAAAACCCTTGCAATATTAACTCATTTTTGGATTTTCTTGTTGTAAAGGTTTGTTGCTGAATATCTTGTATCAGCCCCAAAGAGAGCTGCTTTTTATGAGTTTTTGTGTTTAATGTGTGATTAATATGAATAGAGACAATAAAAGAGTGCAATCATCTTGTGGGCGACCAGTAAAGCCTTGAGTGCATCTTGTAAATAATTAATCACATCATAAACTTGAATATATGTAAGCGTTGATGCACACTAGTGAATTTTGTGCTTAAAGGAATAGTTCATCCAAAAATGAAAATTTCTGAAAATTTGTTGACCGTTGGAGATACAGATGAGTTTGCTTCTTCATGGTGACAGATTTAGAGAAATGTAGCATTCCATCACTTGCTCAGCAATGGATCCTCAGCAGTGAATAGGTGCCAT